TAATATTAATAATAATAATTATAATAATTTCAAACATTTATGAAATTTGTAATGGATTGTTAGAAAATAACTTCTCTAAATTTTGAAGTCTAATTTTTTTTCTTCTCAATATATGCTGAATGAAAATTAGTTATAAATATTAAAAAAATGGGATGAACAATTTATCAATAAGAGAAATTTGATTATGATTAACCAACCTAATATCTATTTAATGAACCTTATAAGAATAATCATTTCGAATAAAGATTAGAAGTTTGCAATTAGCCTGAATTTCTTGATGAACCGTTTCAAATAACAATGCAGACATTTAATTTATTCCAAAGTTTGTTTTAATTACATCATTAAATGCTGACTGAAATATTTGATGACAATTAATATAAAAAAAAAATTCAAAAATATTATTTTAAAAGAAAATGAAAATCATTAACTTAATTATCAATTTGTTCAGCATTTGTTTAAGTTTTGAATTGGTTGATTATGATAGCGATGAGATTACTTTGTACCCAACAGAAGGAGAGATCCTTTAATACAATCTTTACAATTTATTGAGCAACTATGAAAATTGTGAGTTGAATCCTCCAAATTCATTTGCTTATATAATAGATCTAACTTCAAAAATTTCCGAAATATAAGGGCAATGTAAATAAAATCAATATATATATATAGAATTTAAATCATTATCATCAAATAATACCCATTTTGCTGCACTATCATATGAAAATGAAGTGGTTATCTATAAATGGAAGGATTAAATAATGCAATAAGTTGGATAATCTGTCAGTATTGATTCTAAATATAACTGTTTTAATATCAATTTATTTATGGATTTTTGGATTTTATTTGATTGCTATATGGATAACTAATTGTATCTAATGAAATTTATTGATGGTAAATCTATTATTGTTAATCAATCTAAATCTTTAATGCCTATTTCAACGAAGTTATAATCAATAATTAACGAAACAAATCCTTTTATAGTATATGCCTAATATTATCAGCATTATTCAATCATTTCTCTTCTTTCAGCTCAATTTTAAAATTTAAGTTACTTGAATAATCAATTTATTGATTTTGATGCTCCTATTAATACAATTAGTCCAAATATTTATATTAGTGCTTAGCAATAGATTTTATAGTATTCAATCTCTATTGACTCAACTTTTTAATTAACATTTAGTTTCCATAACTAATACTTTACCAATTTTTCCATAATTAGCGTATTTTATAATTATTAGACTTACCCTTAGTATGACAATATATTAGTAGTATTATGCACATAGTATGGTAGTAATTCTTTTAAATATATTCAATAATTCTAAGGTTTTAAAAACTAAATTATTGTAGGTAAGATTGAGTCTATGTTATCGTTTAATTTTTATTTCATTAAAATACTCTAAAATAACTATTTTTATATTTTGTAAGGTATTGAATAGATAATTATCATTGAAGTATTGTCTGGCTTTTAAAAAATGATAGATACAAAAAATAACAACAATTAATTATATATTAATAATAATAATTAGTTATTTTCATTTAATTAAGACATAGTTTTTTACTAACTTTCATAACCATCATTATATATTAATTTAACTAACTCTTAAGTTGCAGGAAAGAGTTATCATTTTCTACTTTTGTGCAATAATCTCATTTAAGATTTTTATAAACTTAAAATTAATCTTTAAGTTTTGTTTCCTAATGATACTAATATTTATGTAATGTTTAACCAAAAGTTTGTTATGTATGAGATTTTGGGGGATCTTAATGAGTAAAGTTTTTTTAGCTTTTCAGGATCATTGTTAAATTATGCACCAAATACATCTTCCATGGATATAGGCTGTTAATAAATTACTTATTAAAATATTTATGAAATAAATTAGACATATTCCTTAGCATAACTTTTAAACATAGATTTCTAATATGGGTATTATCAAGAAATAAGTTTTATTGGATATAACAATAATTCAATATAAATCTTTAAAAATGACTAATAGAATCTTGTTGAAATAAATTTAATCAATATTTCTATAAATGCAAAATTGTTATAAGCATCTTATACCTTTGATAATTATTAAATTATTGGAATCAGTAATAATGATACTATTTATCTGTTCAATTAAAGCATAAACAATAGTACTTATTACTCATATAATATTACTTTCGAACAAGAATTATCATATTTTCTATTAACCCAGAATAATCTAATAATACTATTTCTCAAGTAAGAAATTTAAATAATGACTTTTAATTTTATTAACACTTTTACTTTAAATTAATCATACATAAATAAACATTTTAAGAATGTTCAGTTTAATCCTATTTAGATTGAAATGAATAAGCAGTTATAATCAACTCTGTTATTTATTAACAACATTAATGAAGTTATTATAGTATCTATAGAGTAAAATAATATTCCAATACCAATTTAACTCATTAAATTAGATTTCTAAATAAAACAAATAAGCTTAGTTTAATAATTGCTTATTATATCATATATCTGTAATAATAGTATTAATATTTGTTTCTAAGTTTGGAATGTATAAAATTTGCCTCAATTTTTCTATGTCAAAAGTCTATATAGTTTACCTTTCGATAATTAAGTTATCATATAGTCTGATAACCTGTTCTTTTATGTTACTTTAAGTAATTAAAATGTTTATGTTTATAATCCATATTTTTCTTAGCATATGAGTTTATATTATAAGTTAGAATTAGCATCACCAATATTGTGTAGTTTGGCTATTTTTGAATTTGATTGGGGAATAAAATAGCTTAAGAATTCCCTAATTTTTTAAAACTAAGCTTTTTATCAGTTGAAGCCTTTGTAAGCCTTACAGCTTACACTTTCAAAACCCTCATATTTAGATTTTAACAAAACATATCCATAATTAATTTATAATTTTTCTGTTACTTCATCATTAAATTCGAATGCCTTTTACTCAACTCCTAATTAAAGCATTTTACTATACTCAAATTTCACTCTTTTTAATAATTAGAATTATACAATAAATTTGATTGCTGAGAATTTTAATCTGCAGAATCAAAGTTTCATTTATCCAATCAATTTAATAATCGATAGGCAAGTTAGTTTTTGCAAAATTTCAGATTAATATAATTGCAATTTAACTAATTAGTTGATAGGTTAGTATTATTAGAACTTCGAAAAAGTAAATTACACATTGATCACATCTATAAATAACTAATTCTTTGCTTTACAGAATAATTACCTCATACAGATTATTAATAGTAATTTAAAATACCAATCATATTATGATTATTCAAATCTAAATTTAGACGAATGCTTATAATCAACCTCATATTCTTATGATTTATATTCAGTTTGCCAAAATAGTTCTTCTTAATATTGGTTAACCTTCACCTTAAGCACTTCAGGTAATATTTGTTAACCACAACTTATTGTATTTCCTAAAACAATAAATTAGATATATTAAATAAGCTCTATTTAGGGCTAAATTTTTATCTTAGGAAATTATACTATAGAACCTAATTATAATCCTAATGATCATAGATTGTTCCAAAATAATAGCTTATTTTGGTTCAATTAATTAAAAAACAATTTCCAGATAATATCAGACAATTGCATTGAATTTTCAATTGTTTAATTACCAACTTCTAATTAGGAATAAATACAAACAATTATGATTTTATTTATTGATTTATATTAGTAACTTATAAATTTCATTATGACGGTCGATGGAAATTACAACTATTCCTCGAATATATAATTTGAAGATCTTTATTATGAATAAGGTTTATAGGAAATTCAAATTTTGGAAACAATTGGAAGGTAAATAACCTATCTGATGACTGATAATTCTGGAGTTAGTTTCTTATTAAAATTTTATTGTTATTTGGATGTTTTTAAGAAATAAATTATTTAAAGTAAGAGTTATTTAATTCAATCAATTCCTAATTATGGTAATTTATAAACTACATTAAATTACATTTATTAAAATGGTATTTTTATTCAATAATTTTATAATAACAATTATTATATTGTTGGAGCTTATAATTTAACTAATTTAGGAGAACTTAATTTAAATGAACCTTATCTGATGTAAGTTTCTTTCAATTTGTATTCAGAAGAATATGCAGTAATTGTAGATCAATTATATCAAAATATAATAATTCTATCATTTGATAATGTAAGCAATCTTATAAGTTAGAAAGGAGGTACATAGAGTTTAATATGTCCTGCAGGTTTTTAAGACAATTTAAATATAAATGTCGAATGTTTCAATGAATTTTCGTCTGGAATTTATTCTCTTACTTTCATATATCCTTAAAAAATCATTGATTTGTAGAATAAAAGAAAAGCATGGGCTATTTCGCTTCTATTAATAATTGTTATGCTTCTGATATTTTCTTCAATATACATAAAGTACAAAACAAAAAATCTAAATATCCATTCAGAAATTGAGTTGTGATATTTTAGCAAATTCGATATTTTAACCAAAATTTTATTTATTATTTTATTTCATTTTATAAATTAAATAATCATTCAATTTTTTCAGTTCAATCAAATTATATTTTATTTATTGTTGTCATATAATTTGACTTCGAAATTTCAATAAATGATAAAGTACTTTATCAAAAAAATTAGTTTTTATAATTTTTTTAAGCCTTGTTATTGCCAAAACAGTAGAAAAGTATTTGTTATTTTAAAGTTTTTGTTTTTATAATTTTTTATAATGTTTTACATAGAATTAAGCATTTACAAAGCTCTTATTATTATTTCAAAATCAAAACAAATAATTAGTGAAAAAATTCAATACAAAATAAATTAAGTAGTTATATTAATCAATTATTAAGAAATAAATTTTATAAATATAAATTTGTTTAAATTATAATTTAACAAAATGTTCATTTCACAAGAGAAAGTTTTAGACAGTAATCCTGAGCAGAGATTTTACATTTTAGCAAGAGATGAGATAATGATTATAAAGTTTAGAAAAAAACAAAATTAATATAATAAGGTAGAGGAGAGTTAATTATCTGTATAGAACAAAATTGCAAAAATAATAAATATTACAGCTAAAAGAATTAAATAGTCTTCTAAAAATTTAATAATAAGTTATCATAAACTATATAGATAAAATAATGAGTTCATTGAATAAACCTTTAATAAAGTTGAATAGAAATTCAAATTATAAAGCTGATAAATTTATTGGAATTAATTTGAATTTGAATAATAGTTATGCTCAAATACGGTAATTGAATAACTATAAAATAAAAAAACAAAAGATGCAGAAAGTAAAAGAATGCCAAAGGAAGAAATAATCTTTGATTGAATATAATTAATGAATTAATTAAATAATTAGAAAGTTTAGAAAAGCAAAATTAAGTATTGATTAAATAAGTAGCAATGGGATGGATTAATTTATTAATAGAAGGAAAAAATACAACAATAATAATTGAAACTAAGCTCCATAACTAAAGTTAGTCTTAAGTATGTTTAAGCATATCTTAATTTATTCTTATATATTTAATTACAAGAATCAGATTGATATTTATTATTATATATGTATTGATTCAACTTATTAGGAAGTGTCATTGGATAAAAAGAATGATAAAATAAAGATTCAGTAAATCTATTAATAATTATATGAAAAATGAAATCCTAAAATTTAAGAATATGATCAGTAATATGCGGCAGATTATTAACATAAAGAATTTCAAAAAAGCGGTATATGAGCAAATGTATTCTCAAACATATTTTTGAACACAATTTCAGCGAACTGTAGACCTGACTTTGAAAGTGAGATAACAATTCGAATGAAGATATACTGATTTCAAAGTCATACAAGAAAGAAAAATTTTCCATAAATATCACAAAGAAGTACCTTAATCGATGATTAGAGCTCATCAAAATAATCTAAAATTTTCTGACAATTTGCAATTATTTACTTTGAACATTTAATAAATTGAGAAGGTGATACACGATTTATTTTTAAACCAATAAAAATGGATACTCTACTGGCCTTTAATTTGGAATTATTATTTTGAATTTTATTATGATTTATCAATAGCTAACTATATAACCCTTTTTTTACAAGTCCAACCATAATTATTACGCTAAAATAGCAGTTAATTTAGAAGTTTAGTTAAAATTAATTCCTCATTAAAACCAAAATCAAAAAAATATTAATGAATAATAAATGATTGTATATATTTATTTATATTAAGCTATTTACAACTTTCAATAATGGTAATTCCTTTCTCCTTTTATTTCGTTCTTGTTCATATATATTATCACCCATTTACCCTGTTTTTAACCTTTCATATTATATTCGCCATTAAGAGTGATTTTATATATTTCACCAAACTTTTTATCCAATTCTACCCACTTCCCGATCTTTTTTTTAATCTCCTTCTTCATCATATTATCCACCACCACTAGAAAGCAAAAAATATTCCCCCTTTATGCTTAAATAATATTTACATTTATTTATATTAATTCTTTATTTTTTATTAAACAAAGTATCCCATCTCTCTACCTTCATACCATTTAAATTATATTCACCATTATAAGTGACTTATTTTGATGCGAAGTCATCATTAAACCCTTCATCTAATTCTACCCACTTTCCTATTTTTTTCTAATTTCCTTCTTAATCATATGATCCACCACCACTATATTATACACATTCCCCTTAATACCTTATAATATATACATTAATTTATATTCCTTCTCATCATTACAATACATAGTATCCCATCTACCTATCTTCATACTATTTAAATTATATTCGCCATTATAACTGACTTATTTCTAAATAGAAAACCTTTCATATAATTCTACCCAATTTCCAACTTTTTTCTAATTTCCTTCTTAATTATATGATCCACCACCACTATATATACAATTTCACTTATAATTTTATTATTTTTCCACTTATTTTAATTGTCCGTCTCTATCATACAAAATATCCCTTAAACCTACCTTCCTACCTTTTATATTATATCCGTCATTATAAATGACCTTTTTATTACTATAATAACATTCATCTAGTTCGATCCATTTACCTTAATTTTAACACCTTTATTGTATAAACCATCACCACTAAACAATTTTAACAATATGTACATCTTCACATCTTCACAATTATAATTCCATTTTCCAATTCCAAAATCATTTTAATATTCACCAGTTTCAAAGACTTTTGCTTCACTACTCATAATGTTTAATTTCATAACTCACTTCTAATAGTTTAAGAATAGATCTTTCCATAATCCTTACTTTTACCCTTCCTTATAGTATAGAATATTTAAAATAAGTTATCTTTATCCTCCTACATTCTTTATAAGTACTTTATTCCAAAAAGCAATCCATTAACCATCCATCTTTTTTTTTACCATACTAACCTTTCCATAAAAGATTGTGGATTTGATCTATATTTTTAAACATTTCTGGTTTTTCAAGAACATTATTGCCTTATACTCTTTGTTTTAAATTATAAAAAAAATTTACATTCTCAAAATTGCTTGATTTTATGAATATATGATTTATTAATCTGATGTGAACTTGATTTGAATTTTTAATTTCTCCATCCTATCTTCATAATAGTTAAAACTGTAAACTTCCTTTTAAATAGTTTATTAGTCAATTGATTATTGACCACTCAAACGATTCTCATTAGAATAAATCATTTTAAAAATTTACTTTTATTTCTGATTAAAATCTAACTTAGATATCACAATTGAAATTTCAATCAATAAAATAAATTGAAAAGAAGATGTTCTTATTTTTATTGTAAGGCAACATAACTGAGAAAAGTTAAGTTAAGAATATTAGGTTTGTGCAATTGATTTATTTTATATGAAAAATAAAAACTTGTTTTTTTATCCTTAATCTGTGAGAAAAATTCTCACAATTGAATAGAATATTTTTCTAGTAGAAATTGAATTTATCTATAATTAAATTATAATTGATTAAAAACATTCTTGAAATATAAACAATACTGCAAAATAAAAAAGCAGATGAAAGATGAGGTATATAGAAAGTAATTAATTAAATAAAAGAAATATGAGATAAGTAAAAGTAGCACCAGAAAAATTAAGAGAAACAAAGATTTACAACAATATGAATAAAGAATGATAAAATATTGACATAAATAAATTAACTTTAGGAACAAAAAGTAGTATAAGAGAGGAACTGACTTACATAATAATAACAATAAAAAACAGAAGTAGGAAAGAAAAGATGAGTGAATTGATAAAAATGATCCCAATTTCTAATAAGAAGAGATTGAAGAAAAACCAAATAAACCAGATTTATTAAATTATAATATTCTATTAAAAAATGGATTTGTGTTAAAATAAGTATTTGTAAAACTACCAGAACCTAAAATTAATTCTATTCTTAATGTTTAAAAAAGAGGAGGATATGCAAGTGAATTTATTTTTAGTAGAGGTTGATTTAGATGAAATGATGGCCCTAATGGAAAAAAACAAAGAAAAAAACAAAAAAAATTACAATATTCTAAACATAGACTTAGTTTATCACAATGGGAATATTATGGTAGAGAGTACCTGAAGAAAAAATTAAACAACTTGAAATCCTAATTTCAAATTCAAATAAAAATATGTTTCTATCAAAGGTTATTAGAATCTAGATAAAATCCTAAATATTTCAGTTATGATGGTAGATAATTATCAGCTAAAAGATATTATTCTATTCAATTAGAATATCAATATAGAACTTCATTTATTGGCTCTAAATATAGACAATGGAACTTAATTTCTAAATATAATAACAATAAAATTGAAAATTTAGAAATGACTTTTGGAAGGGTGATTCAAAAAAAACTGTTTCTAATTCAGAAAAATAAACTCCTTTAGAATAAATTATACAACCAGATGAAATGGAACTTTTTAAGATGAGGAAAACAACAATTAGTAGAGAATATAAGACATTTAGAAGGTGAATGGGATCCGGCGTAAGTTGAAGCTATTGAAGGAGATATAAGAAATAAATTAAAAAAAGAAAAGATGTATAGAATTGCTGAATAATTAAAATTAAGACTATAAATATAATAAAAAAAAACATGATATTGATAATGGCAATAACAATAATAATATGGATAATGGATATAGAATAATAACTCAAAGATATTTTACAATCTGAATTTAAATAATAATATGAATAAAAAAAAATAAAAAAGAAAGAACAAAATTAATCTAAATCTTTAGTAGATTATAAGTAATGTACTCTCTATTTAGATTACTCTTATACAATTTAAGAAATTGTCATCCAAATGATATAATTCTACAAGGAGTGTGCCTCAAAATCGACAGAATCAAAGTAAGTCTAAAATACTGAAATTAAAAATTTACATATATGGTCTACAAAACGAAAAAAAAAATGTAAAATTTTTGATAAATTTATAAAAATATCTAGAGCTATATATAAATTAATATTTATAACATTCTTAAGATAGGTAAGAATCTAACATAACAAAAATCAAGTTCAATAATAAAAATGATAATAAAGACAGTATTGGAGAGAATCAAAGTGCATAGGTTAATTAATCTGCAATAAATATGGAAGTTCATGGAATAGATTTAATTTTGTCATAAATAAAAATAATAAAATACTTAAAATAGCATAAATTATTCTCTCTAAGCCTAAATGATGTGTAAAATTTTAGAAGAGTTAACATAATAATTGAAGATGCATGTGCTCATTTGAGGAAAAGCTTCTAAAATATTTTAATGAAATAGCAATCAAAAAACATCTTTTACAAAGATTCTTAGGGAAATCTACAAAATTTTTAGTTAAAGTAACTTTCCCTTTCAATATTAACTCAATAAAATTGGGTGAATAACAAGAATTTAATATAATTAAATTATTTACTTAATAATCTCAATTAATACAAATTAACTTCTTTCGATTTTGGTTTAAAATTTTTATCTATATAGTAACTTTATTTAAGTTGTTTTTTAAATTTAGTTTAAAAGTACTGCTAGGATAGATTGGTTTACCTTTTGCTAAATTAGAAAATCTTTGGAAGTAATAATCTCAACAAGTATAAGCAAATTATTATTAGTTGATTTATTTAACATAAAATGAACAAAAATTTGTAATGTTTGACAATTTGATAAGAGATTATTTGGAAAGAAACATGGATGATGAGAATAAAGTGCTGATTTAATTCAAAAGGAGGATAAAATTATTATATTGATAAAGATGAGAAAACTTATTTAAAAATCATGTTGAAATTTTCAGATATAAATAGGTTAACTTATTTGATGGTTTTTACTAAAGATTTTAAATTATTCAGTTTAGAAGACAATTACCCTGATGTTTAAAGAACTTGGATAATATTACTGATTTTATAATAAATATGATTTTCTAAATTATTTTAAATTAAGTAATAAATGATCTTAGGATAATTATGAAAAACTATCTTGTATAAATAGTTTCAATATATAATAGCACATCATTTGATATGTCTTTAATCTCTATCTTCTATCCTTAATCTTATAGTTCATTTTTTATGATATAATTACAAGAAACTTCTTTCTGTTTTCAAAAGGTATTTTTTTATGATTCCAGGATACAATACAATTTTTATTCTTCTCAATAGGACAGCGTGGAGATTCATCTCGAAGTTCGAGATGTTTAAATCTGACCTGAAGTTTTATTTTTGATGTATGCAAATATATAAAGTTTAATATGAAGATATTTTTAGGATCCTTAAATATTAATTTTCTCATTGAAGAGATTTAAAAGCTTCAGATAGATTATTTAAATAAAAAATTGAAACTTTAGTGAATTTTCCTATTAATAATCTTGATATGACAGATTATATTATTAATTCAAAAACTCCTTGTGAATATTAGAATGAGAATGAAAATAATAATGGAGAAAATAATAAGTAAAAGGTCATTTATGACTTATATGCTGTTTCTAATCATTTTGGAACAATAGAAGGGGGCCCATTACATTAGTTCACTAATAAATTGTATAATTTTGATGATTCAATAGTTAGTGAGATTAATGAAACATCTATTTTTTCTAAAGCAGCTTATGTTTTATGTTATTAATTGAGAACAGATAATTCAAATAATGGTTAGGAAAAAACGATGAAATCCATTTAAGAATGAGGAATAGATTTAACAAGTATAAGATAAAATTTTTCACAACCGATCTATGGAAGTCTGTTCTTTTTAAAATTATTTCTATAACTAAATTACATTTTTTATTTTGAAGGGATAAATAAATATAATCTTTTATTTATAATATTTAATTTATTAATATAAAATATAGGATTTTATAAATGATTTAATTATTTATCAATTTAAATCTTTAATCTAATCAGTGTTAATTTCTTGCTTAATCAAAGCTATTAAAAGATTATTATAAAGTATTTTTTAAAATCTCATTGATGAATGGTGATTTTTATGTAAAAATATAAATCAATAAAAACATGTGGGAATCAAACAAAATAAAAGCAGCAAGGCATAAATATGAGTATGATAACTTTAATGAGATTGATGATAAGTTTAAAGAATTTGATGTGTAGCAAGGAGATTCAGAATTAAATAATACATCTGCAGCCTTTGGAACAATCCTCATTTAGACAGCTGAGTAAGGATTACATATGACTAATGTATTTCAAAGCTAAGGACAACCATTAAAACAGCTAAGTTAAAGATTTCAATTAACATAATTAAATTAGCATCTTGAAAGCGTCTGATATCAACCCTAACAAACTAAATTAGCTGAAGATATCTTGAAAAAGACAGTAATTTAATTAATAAGCAAGTAATTAAATTAAGGTTTAAATGAATAGTAAGATTGACACATTGCCAAAAAACTGGTGTGATAAGATTTTTTTGAAAAAATAAAAGTATAAAGAGACAGATCAATAGATGAAGAAGGAGAAGATTTATTATTAAACTTTAAAGCACTTTTAATCTTTATAATTAAAAACTAAATATGAGCAATTATAAATTAAGATAAATGGTTGTAGACAAATAAAGTGATTATGGGAATTAATAAACGGCTGTTAAATCTTAAAATACACATTTTAATGTTCAAGTTATCACAACAAGTCGTATATTTGAGAATATGAACAAATATCGGTTATTTAAATGAATTTCATTTTTTTTTTTTTAAAGTCTTTAGGTTAAGATAGATAAAACATATAAAAGTAAAATAGAATATATTAAGTTGTTTGGAATGATTAATAAGAGAAAGTATTAACTAAATAAAGAAGTTAAACTAAACAATTATTCAGGTAATTCAATCGTTTGCACTATTTTAGAAATGAAATTCCTTGTTCTAATTGGAATGATTTAGGAGTCTTGCCAATTTTATAATAAAAGACATTAAATGAGAAGAAAAAATAATAAAGAGAACACGTTCTTAATAAATATACGGATGACGAGTTTTTGACAGCTTAAGAACTATAATTTTACTAATACTAGTGAATAATTAAACGCATGTTTAGATAAAGAATTTTCTTAAAGAACAACCAATTAGGTAAATCCAGATTTATTATTCAATATGGGATTTTCTTTGGCTGAATAGATTTTAAAACATTATGGAAGAATGAAATCTGCAACCATAGATGATAGATTACAATATATAAGAATGAAAATAAAAAAACTAAATAAAAATTAGCCTAAAGAGAAAAAAATTATAAAAATAATCTATAGAATTCTATAATATGTAATTGAATAGAAACTATATCAAAGTATGCAAAACATTAGTTAAACATATCGAAAGAACAGGAAAACTTGTAGAAAAAATTCCTAATGAAATACCAGGAGCTACTGAATTAAAAGTTAATGAGTAGGATTGCTGAGAAATAATTCATTACAAAACTATATAACTATGCCTTTGAAAAAGAAAGAAAGAGATAAAATATTACACTTAATGATGAAGAAAATTTATTTTTAAATTATCCATCTAAATAATAAATAGCAAATTATAAATAGATTCAACCTTAAAGCACAAGATTGAAAAATGAAAAAAATAAAAGAAGAATATTTAAAGTAAATGGCTAGACCTATAAGTACTATTCGTATTCAATTCACTTAAAACATCAAAAGACATATTTTTCATCCATCAACAAAATTATTAATTGACAAAAAGCTTGAATGTGAAGAAAATAAATTAGTTATATTTATCTAATATATGCTTAATATAAACAAATCAGGATAAAAGAAATTTAAATTAGGCTTAATAATTCATCCTTCTTTGAGATAAAGAAGAAACTTTTTGAAATTTTATTCTGGTGGACTTTTTAATTAGATTGAATTAGAACATTGGAAAAGTCCAAATTATTAACCTACATAAACAGAAATAAAAGCAGCAATTATGATGTAAAGAAAATTGAGATCTTTATTTAGAGTAAAGAAACTAAGATAAAAATTAGAGAAAATAAGTAATTAAATCTATTATTTATTCAAAGATAATTGTGAAAGCATGATTCATTAAATCGAATTAGGATAAAATTAATAGGTAGCTTATTTTTATTTAAACAAATCACTTGAGCTATGTAATTTACAGCTAAAGATTAAATAAATTTTAGTAGTATAAAAACCGAAGAAAATGCTTGTAAAAACACTAATCACAGGAGTTTCTACTCCTATTAAAAAAGGAATTTAAAGTTTAAGAATTGCTGCTCCTTCTAATAAAATTAAAGTAGATTATTTATTTGAAGCAGTCTAAAAAAAGAATTATGATGATAAAATAATCTCATTTTCTTTATTCTGCAAATTATGTAATTCATAAAACTATGATGGTATCACTCTGTTCATGTTGCTGTTGTAAATGGTAATTAGGGTGTTTGTAAAATGGTTAATTTTATCATTATTACTATATCGGTAACTGTAGAATGGTACAGATCCTCATATTATGGGTTAATCTAGTCCTCCAATTGATATGGCTAAAATTTAAAATAAACTCAAGTATCATATTTATATCTTATAATTTTAGACATTAGACTTTTGTGTAATACTAAAAATTAAAAGGAACTTGGTAAGATTCATTTTCATTAATATACTGATATTTTCAATCTAAGCCTATATATTAATGTATTCTGATTGTTGTGGGAATTTTAATTACTAAAATAGTAGATTTTTTGAAATATAAAAACTAGATTAGATAATCTAAAATGGAGCTGGAGTAATAACACTTTGTGGATCTTCAGAGATTTTTGGAGGCAATCCTAACTTTGATACTTAAATTGGCAAAGATATTGAATTGTTTCCTAATACAACTGTATGATTAAATTTAAAATTTTGGCAGTAAAATATTATAATTAATCTTAGCCTTGATAATTGGGAAGGTGAAAGAATGGAGGTCAAAGTTGATAATATTATAGTTTTTAGTTAAATTTAAAGTTCTGGATACTTTTAAACCTTATCCTGAAAATCTAAAATATATTTTGATTCATCTGAACTTTTAGGATTAATCATTTTATTTATACTTTATTGGTTAAACCAATATTAGTAACCTTTAAAATAACAGATATTCTTCAAACTATAATTTATGATAACTTTATTAAAAGCAGAGGTTTTAATTATAGTAAATTAATGGAGAGCTGTTTAAAAATATTTAAAGCTTAATATTTTAGAAAAGCTTCAGTATATTTTCGTTTATTTTTTTCTAATGCTATCCAAGATTCGAGAACAAGAATTGTTTTACCTATAAATTTTCAATTTTATTGCTTCATATAATACCAAATGTTAGATAGGTTCTCAGTGGGATAATATAAATTAAATTAGGCTGTCATAAATCTAAGGATGCTATATTTTATAAAAAGATTTAAGTAGTTCTTTTATGCAAATAATTGATAATTGGCACTTGCTTTTTAAAATTATTTTATTTATGACATCAAAGACTGATGTATTTATCTGGGTTTTTTAAATGTGTTTAAATTTTTTTATGTTTGCATTCAAAGGATTAAAAAAATCTTTATATATCTAATATGAGAAATGAATAACAATAAAATTATTTTCATTAATCTTAATTTTAATTAATTTTCAGGAAAGCGATAATTTGGAATGTACAATGATAACTTTATTGATTTTTTGTTATTTTGGATATCTAGTAACTCGATAATATTATGGCTCAATTCTTTGGATTAATTATTGTTTTAATTCTTGACTTATTAGGAAAATTTATTTAACTTGAATTTAAACTTTCAAATCATAATTATTTTATTGAGTAAAATAATAGTAATTATTTTTATTACTAATGATATTTTTCAATTTTAAATCTTCAGATATCTTACATTTAGATATTTAAGACATTTTTCGTTTAAACATCATAATTTCTAACTATTTAATCAATTGAGAAACCATTAGTAGTAGTTGTAATTGCTAATTCTTTAAAATCTGATTATGATGTAAATCGCATATAAAAATAAATGATGTTCATTGAACCATGGCAATTACGGTCAAGAGTTATATCTTATTTTAAGCTGTTGTTACATTTATTTATTACTGCATGAACCTTTTTGTTAGGATAACACTTAAAATAAACAATGACATTCAATTTTTGAATTGTATCAGCAACCAAGATGGGATCTTAACCTTCAGTTTTGTTTTCTTCTACAAGATTCATTTATTTAGATGTTTTTTCATTAATATTTCTATCTAAATATTTGCTTATTCTAAGAGTATCACATAAATTGGTTTAAATTCATAACTTAAAACATATTTCATCTACAATGCAGAAATAGTGTTTGGAACATATACACTACTTGACCCTAAGAAATATATATATGTTTGAAGTTTTTATTTGTTTACACGCTATATTAAACAGCTGAACCTACAGTGGTTGTGAAGAATTTTAATTTGTATGATGATGTGTTACTGAATTATAATTTAGAATATAAAAGTAGAAAGAAACAATTTGCTTCAAAATTAAAACCTCCATTTGTGTATTTAGAAGTTGTTGCTTTTGTTTCAAAAAGAGTTAAAGCTTCAGTAGTTCCCAATATTATTTAATATCCTAGATGAAGTAAGTTAGAGTTTGCAGTTTAAATTTCAAATGCACCAGAATAACTAAAGCTTAAAATTGATACTTTTGCTATTTTGAAGTTTGGATTAGCAATTGGATATGTTGCTTCAGATAGAGGGTTCAAATCAGTCACCGTTATTACATCGACTCATTAATCATCAATGGCATACCAATTTAATCTGATTCCCTATACTGCTTTGGTAAGGCAAGTGAATTTTATTTTAAAATCTAAACTTATTCAATTGATTCATTACATGATGTAGTAATTTATGGAATTTCTAACAAAAAATTAAGCTCATAGGAAGGAGAAATGCTTGCAAAATCTAATGAACCCGGAGTCACTATGACTTTTGATGTATTAGCAAAAGAATCTGAAAAATTTATTTATTCAGTCCTAACATCTCCATTTTAACAATTCAAACTCCAGTTAACCCAATTGCTCTGGTCATGTGTAATAGTCCCTAGTGCAGATAATATCAAAAAAATTATTAGAATCATATATTATTTATTTGAGAAAATATTTGTCTTCATTTAAGAACCCATATAATCGATTTCTGGATTTACAAATGTTATTCTATTCTCTTTAAAGAAAAATATTTTTAAAACTAACTTATTTTTAAATATAAATAAATTAGGAACTCAATTATGATAACTAAAATAATTTTTAAAATTAAGTTTTAAGAAACAAAAAAGATTCAATATATTGTATTTTAAGTGAAACAGGTTTGAGGCAAAAACT